AGGTAGTTTTTTGAAATTTGAATTCACAGTTATTCAGTTTGAACTCATACTATGAAACAGTCTTTGCAGAAATGTGCAACTGCAATACGTTGAACACCAATTACATCCTAATTTCTGAACCGATAACCTTAAGAAGCAATAAATTGTTCTCCCTGTCAAATGACCGATTATGGTAGATATAGGTATACAACAAGTATTATTCGAAACAAACAAAATACAAAAAAAGAGAAAAAAATAGAAGATTTACTTTATATTATTGTTAGAAAAAATCATGAAGTCAAATGCGCAAAAACGATAAGATAATAAACGCTTTTTCGATGCAAAATTTCTAAACGGTCATTTGACGGTTTTTGGTATGTTTAGTGTTAAATGCTGCTACGAAATACCCAATCAGTGTAATATTTAAATCATTTAAAAAACCGATTCTTCAAGAAAAGTGAGCGACACTTGTATAACGAAAGTACCCGGAAAATGTATAAGTAAACAAGATCACAGACTTATCTCATTTCAAAAACACTTGAAAAAGAACTCATTAACTTATCACAATGAATAATGATCCGATCTTAAACAAGGATGAGGACGTAAACATAACTACTTTCGATAAACTGGAGACTACGATTGAGCTCTAGTTTTTGTTCTTGAATCGATAGAATGAGACGTACCTAACGATCTCATGAATAAAAATCGTATTTGCTATATCTTTGGCAATAATTGTTGGAACAACAAACATGACACCTCTCTATGATTTATGCTGTCTTTACCGTAGAAATTCATGAAGTAATAATGGAGAGAGCAAAATAGTTTTCCTGTTGTTCGAGAACTGTATTTTAATGCAGTTCAATGTACAACATGCGTTTAAAATGAATAAAATAAATAGTTAATGAAGCTGGTATGTTTTCTTTCCAAAATTTAATTACCATCACTTTTTTCTTAAGATTTCAGGTCGCGTTATTTTTGATTTTTCAATTAAAAAAATTAATGATTAGCAAAAATTGTTGTTGTTGTTGTTGTTAATTTACGTCGCACTAGAGCTTCACAATGGGCTATTGGCGACGGTCTGGGAAACATCCCGGAGGATGATCCGAAGACATGCTCTCACAATTTTGATCCTCTGCGGAGGGGATTAACAAAAATTAATTCCCTTAAATTATTCATTGAATGAATGATAATCTGGCAAATTCTGCCTCATTCTTCCAATTAAAGTAATCGTTTACGCTGACAAAATATGTTTAGAGAGTAGTTGTGATAATTGCATTGAGTTTAATTTCCTAACAAGATCACAATATACAACATTAGATTACTATTAAAGATTATTACAATTCTGGCAAATTCTGCCTTATTCTTCCAAAATAAATTAATCACTTACGCTCGCAAAATATGTTTAGAGACTAGTTGTAATAATTGAACCGAGCTTCATTTCCAAACAAGATAATTGACAATATACAACTTTAGATTACTTGTAAAGATTATTACAACTCTGGCAAATTCTGCCTCATTCTTCCAAATAACGCAATTAATTTTTCTGCAAAATATGTTTAGAGAGTAGTACTAATAATTGAACTGAGTTTCATTTTCAAACAAGATCACAATATAAAGGAGCTTAGATTACTTGTGAAGATTATTACGATTCTGGCAAATTCTGCCTCATTCTTCGAAATAACGTAATTGTTTTCGCTGACAAAATATGTTTAGAGAGCAGTTGTAATAATTGCACAGAGTTTCATTTCCTAACGAGATAAAAGTATGCAACTTTAGATTACTTGTAAAGATTATTACAATTCTGCCTCATTCTTCCAAATAACGCAATTTTATTTCAATATATTTAAAAAAAATTTTCAGCATATGAAACATCCTGGTTTACCTTAACTCGCTTTTTTTCCTATACTTTTAAATGACATATGTAGGTGAAAAAGAATTTGCAATGAAAGGTATGTTCCACGGTATAGCGTCCTTTTAAGGACGAATACAACCACCATCGTCGGGCACATACGTAATTTTTTTTAAAGTGATCAGTTACTTGAATCCGTGATTAAAAGTAATCGTAATCAATAATTACATAATAATTATCTTTACAAATTATTGAATAAGTAATAATAGTAGTAATTTGATAATAAAATTATTTCATGTTTTAAAACACGATATCTGAGGGCTATTTTAAGTACAAAATTTTAATAATAAGTTTGTGGAGTCACTTTATTTCGATTTTTTTTAAATTGTTCAGTTTCATGAAAACATGTTTTGTTAAGCATTGTATACTCTATTCCAGAGATGTTCTCGGTTTTAGCTTCTGTACCATTTTATCCTGTTCCAAAAAAATATGACAAAAAATTTAGTTATTTGGTTTGTTTTTCACATAATAATAACTGCGAAGATTATATTCATAAAGTTTTGTGTTCAATTACATATTTTGTGTACAGAAAATCCTTTCGAAAATGCTCTTTATAAAAACGGAATTTTTCGCTTCACGCTGGTTTAATTTTTGGAGCATACTGAACCGCAATATCTTTCAAATCTGAAGAAACCTTATAGTTGAACCACATCATCATACATCTTAACTACAAGATTAAATTTGAACGAAAACTGAGGGTACAATTTAACACCTTCTGTAGGTTGCAGGAAATTTGCGTCTGATTCAAAAAACGGATCTCAGTAACTGACCAATTCTTTTATATCAGTCACTGTTTTCAATGATTAAATTGTTTTAGGCTGTAAGTTAAGAATGATTTTACTTCAAATATTTAAAATATGTATCAAATTTTTATTGAGCCTCCTGAAACCCCAATATATATAGCAGCATTCACTATACCTTAAAAAATAAAATATTTTTGTTTCTGTTTGCATGCTTTTATAAAGCGATTGTTTATGTGACAATTTACGTTATCTATACCCTATCTAAGGAGATTTTAATTAGATTGAAGAATTTTAAGGAAGTTGAGTGATTTGATCCGCGCAACTTTTTGGATAATTCCATGGCAAATAAACATATTATTTGAGTCTAATGAATTATTTCATTAACATTTTTTTATTAAAATTTAAAATTTTTTAATTAACAGTTAAAATTTAAGTTAATAAAATTAAAAATTAGTTTAATTAACAGTTACAAATTAAATTATTATATCTAAAATAATAATGAATTATAATAGTGTTTTCATTTTATCGTATATATGAGTATACTTCCTTTTAAGCTTTCTTAAGTAAAAATAAACACCTCCGATATTAAATCAGCAACATCGGGTACCAGGAGTATTCTTCATGTAAATATTTTTTAATTGTTCAACTTTGCTTAATAAAGTCATATAATTCTCTTAGAGTTTTCTATTGCTGTTCTAGATAAAAGAATACAGCACAGGTTTCTTTGCATACTCTTTGTTACACGAGGAAAAACTAGATACAATGTTAAATCTTTGGGGAACAATTATTAAAAATATATTCCCCTGAAAAAAAAAAATTAAATTACATATAAGATTGTAATTAGTCGAAGGATTATAAATGTTCACTATCTTTTGATTAATTTCAACTTCATTAATTACAGACATTTTTTCTAACCATTTTAATTTATATTGTTGTTCCCATTAAACTTGCTCAACGTAATTAATATTGTAATGTATAGTTCAACTCAACGTCTTGTAAGCAATCAAGAAAGTACTCCAAATCTTTTTAGCAAGCAAAAGTAATGCGGTCAGATTGTAAAAGTGGTACCAGATCAAGAAAGAAAAAAAAAAGAAAAAAACGGAACATATATTAAATTGGTGAACTGTGACCTTCGACACTTAAATCTCTTTTAATCCGATTTAATATATACATTGAATTATAAACTATGACAGCATTGTCATTCTTTATCGGAAAATCTTTGAACAAATGAAAGAGAACGGAATGCAAGTAGACTTTTGCTATCAGTTCTCATCTTTTGAACACCAGTACTTTTTTGCCATTCTGTTGCAAATTCCTTCAAATATCTCAAAAAGAATAAATGTAATTTTGAATATGTAGAACACTTTGAAGACTTCCTTTCTTTATATTCTTTAGAATATCTTTTTTTTTGTTGTTGTTGCCCTGGATATGTTTGTCTTTTAGTTAGCGCAAATTCAAAAACTTACTTGGTGTAGTTTTGAAATTGTATAATCTATGCCAAAATAGTCATTAAATTTATATCTTGTGATTACTATTAAACTGCTTTAGTGTATTCCGAGTTGAAGATCTAAGACCGACACAAAAGAATGTATGAAATTCGTATATTTTATTTAACATGATTTGCGATTTGCTTTAGGATAAATGAAACCTATGAGTTTTATGCACATTTTTTTCTGCATTTATCTCACATTTATCACAACAGAATTATTTAAATATCAGCTTCTTACAATAAATATCTACAGGTACCTGATATTTATTAGATTTAACCAAAGGCCGAAGAGGCCGGATTTAGGGCTTTCAAATTTCTAGGGACTCAAATTTTGCAAATAATGTTTTTGTTCTTTCCCAAAGGAATAAAATACAGGTTTAAATTCTCACATTGCATAATTTTCTATGGTTGTATATCATACAAAAGTATTTTCGTACACAAACATTTGGTACGAAATTGCAATCATTGGTGCCTCAGACTCGAATGTCGCCAGATATAAAAAGAATTCTTTTTTAATGGCAGGCTCTGAATTTCAGAAGATGTCGGAAGTGTTGCTCGTTTAACGTTTCCCGGTCGGCACCTGTGAATCTAAGTCACAGAGGCGAACAAAAATACTACGCCACACTGCTACAGATACCTGTTTATAGGGTGGGCCTTAGTCACACAACACAAAGAGAGAAACATTCATTCCCTGAGCGGAATTCGAACCCGCGACCATTGGCTTTACAACCACGTACGCTGACCGCTCGGCCATCTGGTCGGCATATAAAACGAATTGTAAATAGTTTTTACTTGAGAAATCAATATTTTCCCCCCTCCATGTCAACATTTAGTTTTTGCAGATTTTCTATAAATACTGATTGCTCTATTTATTTTTCAGATGTGGCAGGACATTGAAAGTGTTCTCTTAGGAGACCTTCATCCCCAGGAGCACCAAATGAAAGTGTCCATGAATGCAATGAAATTCCATCCGCCCAATAACCAGCTATCCATGTTGGACAATGTCCAGAAACGAATTACGTCACCCTCTCTCAATCCTCTTCCGGAAGACAACAATTCCTCCGGAAGGTATGAGGATATCGGTGCTTACATGGACTTCGTACTCTGTGGTTCCTCCAGCAATAACGCGCAATCGACTGTGATTTACGACGACAACGTCGACTTCGACGAAAGTGTAAAGCAAGAAATTAATAATAGTTTGACTGTGAATGAAACTGATTCGCCAATGGAGCCGATTTTGCCTAATCTAGAACCCATGGAACAGAGCAAGGAAAGGTTCTCCCAACTAAGTAACTGTATTCCACAGCAACTTACCCAACACCAACCTCCCACAAATCATATAGTATCTCCTTACACGTCAACACTGAACCCCAACATGTGGGTGACATACAATACAAGCGCCAATGCTGTGATTGCGAGTCAAATGTCACCCCCTGCGTCGCCCGAGCGGACGGGTCAGCAGTTGGTCATGAAATCTACCAATGGCCTGCTGATGGACAACTTTGTACCGCCGCCGAACCTCATAAACCCAGTCCAAACGCAGTTTGGGCCTCCATTGGTGTCCCATCCCGGTCAGCACCAGCAACCTCAACAGCCACATCTGAGGATGGTGACGCCGCCATCTTCGCCCCATTTAGCGGAGTTACTCAACAACAATCGTGCCACCACTGCGGTTCCCACTGGTTTCACAGCGACGCATCAGACTGTATTTGCTAGTATGCCCGAAATGCGAGATCAGCAGTCGCAGCAACAGCCGGGGAGCATGGTGGCCAAACCCAAGAGGGGCAGAAGAGGTTTCGGCAGAAAGAAGATAACGACGCACACTTGCTCGCATCCAGGTTGTTCAAAGACTTATACTAAAAGTTCGCACCTCAAAGCCCATTTGCGCACTCACACAGGTGAGAAACCTTATCAGTGCAACTGGAAAGGTTGCGGGTGGAAGTTTGCTCGATCGGATGAACTTACACGACATTACAGAAAACACACTGGTGACCGTCCTTTCCAGTGCAGACTATGTGAGAGAGCATTTTCTCGCTCTGACCATCTCTCTTTACACATGAAGAGGCACACAGCTGTATAAATTCCATTACACATGAATCTCTCCCAATACTTAAGGCTGTTTTTTTAAAAGCATTTCTTCTTTTTTTTTAATTGTTCGTTAACAGTTATGAATTGCTGTTAGGTTTTGTCCACTTCCAACGAAAGAATCTTTTACAGTTAAGTAAAATGGTGCAAAACTTTAATTTAAAGAAAATTCAGTTTCTTCTAATTGAAAATGGCCCAAAATTTCTATTAAAAAAAAACAATGTCTTAAAAAACAAAGTATTCGCGTTCTAATTTTCTAATATTTTCGAAATTGCTCCGTTACTGCTGAGTTCGTAACAGTTAAGAATTTCTGTTATGTTTTGTTCTCTTCTAAACTTTTCGAAGAATCGAAAGAATCTTTTACAGTTAATGAAAATGGTGCAAAACTTTAATTTGAAGACAATTCAGTTTTTAATTGAAAATTGCCCAAAATTTCAATTGAAAAATGCAAAGCATTTGCGTTCTAATTTTCTAATATTTTCGCGAAATTACTCTGTTACTGCAAAGTTTATTACTTTTGTCTTTTAATAGTTGAGTTGACTCTTTTATACAAATAGAATTCGTGGAATAAAAGTAATGCTTTAATTCGATTTTCATGAGCTCTAATTTTGACATTTATTTGCCGTGGTGAAACTGCTTTCTAAAAACAGCCTTAATTTAAGCCCTATACTCTTCAGCTCCTTGATAACGCTATTTCTCTTAGCTATTTATTTAATGTTTTCGATTAAATATTTTTTTTGGGTAAAGACTGTTAGTTAATGAAATACCTTTTAAAATCATATTTTAATAATTAATAAAAACCGAATGTCTCATAAAATCATATTTTTAATAGAAAGCAGAAAAATAAAAGTACTACACAATAATATTTGTAATAAAATGAGAAATTTTAAATTCCGGTTGAAATATGTGTTTAAGGCTAATATGATACTAATTTGAAAGAAAAAAGTATTTGTAATTATCAGTTCCTTGAATATTTTTTAAAAATCAAATTTAGCCAAACGTTAGTGCTGGTGATTTAGTGTCATATATAGATAAAAAAAATATTATAAAAATATCATAATTTTCATTTGGTTTAAGTTTTTCACAGCTTTTTTCTTAAATTATTTTACGCTGCACTCACGCTACTGTAACCATATTAATTTTATTTCTGTTTGAATGCAAGGCTCATTTGAATAAATTGCGTTTTTGAAATTTAGACTATTTTCACATTTTTTATTGCATTACCAAAAAAACTATTTAAATTTATCATACAGTTTAACCCCCGATAAGAAATGATATAGTACATTATTTTTTTTATTTTAATTAAAAATATATTTATTTTAAGTTAAAGAGGATTCATTTCGCATTTTTAATCTTTATTGAAGATGTTTTTTTTTGCATGAGTATGTATTAAAAGTTCAGGTATATTTCATGAAGCATTAAAAAAATTTAAAATAAATTTAACTAATTTTTGATATAATCGAAAACATGTTTTATTAAACAAATGTAAATTTATTACAAAGAAAACTATACTTAAATAATATTATTCATTTTCAGACTTTTTTACTACTAACATTTAAAAAAAGATGTATGTTAAAAATAGTTGTTTACAGTACCTTTCCTAAATAAATTGAACAAAACGTCAATTTTTTTTTTAATTTATGAAAAAAACTGAAGCATTCTGTATTGTCAATAGTATTTATAAATTCCTGATTTTGTGAAGTTTACAATTTAAGATGCATGTTAAATATCACATGGTTTTAACATTATTTTTTGGAAAATAGCAAAAACGTGAAAAAGTTTTTCAAAAACAGCTTTCAAAATATCAGCACCAGTTGCATTTTGTTTGGAAGAGGGGGGGGGGCAAAACAAAATTATATCTCACATTCTCAAGATAAAAAAAAAATATTTTTGTTTTTACGTATTTGAAAATTATCTTAAATTTTTAAAGAAATAATAATCTTAAGAATTATAATCTGATATTTGTTCGTCATGCTCCTTAAACTTTTAAATACTGAACATTTTAAACGAAAATTAAAAAAATATGAAGAGAATATTGTAACAATATAAAACGGTGGTTTTTCTAATTATTAAAGAAAGTTGAAAAAATAATGATTATGCCTAATTATTGATAAAGGCGTCCTTCACGGTGATAAAAATAATGTAAAAATAATAAAAATAATGTAAAAATAATGTTAATGTAAATTAAAATGTTTTATTAGTATAAAGCAAAATGGATGTTCTATAAAAAATGCAGAAAGAAAATTACTTCTCGACAAATCTTCTATATTGTGTTCTCCTTTTTTATGTCTTAACTTTTTGACTGAAATCTGACAGTCTGTCAATTTAAATAAGAAAAAAAAAAGAAAAATGTTTATTTTATGAATTATATGATGGTCAACTGTCTAGTCCAATCCAAATATCATTCCTAAGAAAATAAAGAAATTATAAAAGAGATTTATATAAAGATTTTTACAAATTTATTATAATTATTTTGAGTGTAAATGGAAAATATTTTTTGTATATTATAAATTTTAAGAGAGATTTTATATATTTTGTGTTATTTTATGTATAGGTAAAAAAAATGAAATATTATGTTTTATAATCTAAAAATATTTTAATTTTTTTACATAGTTTTTTGTAAATATATTTAGAATTGAAGAGTATGAAATTTTGGTTATTCCCCTAAGAGTAAACGAATAAAATAGAAAATGATAATGACTTTTTTTTTTTTTGAAATTGTATTCCATACTTGTATGAGTATTTCAATTATATTTGCAATGTATTTTTTTCTTATATTATGCATGCAATAGATCATTTTGAGTTATTGATTTTTTGTATTCATTTAACAACTAAAAGAAGATTTTGAGTCGATACAAACTTTCTGGCTAAAAATGTGAAACTAAAATTGTTTTAATGACTATCGAGAAACTTAACTATTTTATTCATGCTTAAGATGTTTTTTACTATTTAAATGTGGATCCTTAATTTTCAAATGCGATTTTGATTTATGGTCCATTAGTTAGATAAAAGAATTATTGTAAGAAATTTTAAACTAAATCTTCTAGAAAAAAGTAAATTATAGCAGGTGTGGAAGGAGGGAAAGATGTATTAATATTGTTATTTTATATTCAAACCTTATACGTTCACTTCAGCTTAACTCGATAAGTTCTAATAAATTTTCTATGACTCCATTAAAGCCAAAGTTGCAATTTTTCAACATCTATTTATCAACGTTACATAATATATCAATAATTTATCAGCGTTATATATTTTATCAACGTAATACTAAGGGAAAAAAAATCTCTGCTACATTATCATATCTATGCTTAATCATTACTGGCGACGACAAAATTTAAGAAAAAAATATATTTTAAAGTAAATGACGAAATAATATCGATAGATAATAATGACTCATTTTTAAAAAATTAAATTAAAGTAAAGGGTTTGGGATTTTTATATTCAGCCATTAGGGCCTATATTCAATTGCAATATACAATTCACACATTTGTAATGAATGTACATTTCAATTCCGAATATCCTAGAAAATATAACTGTGATAATATTTTTATGCTAAATGTTATTTTAGTTTTGGTAGTATTGTTTTTCTAAAATTTCAAAATATTACGAAATTGTTACTTTTCACAAATGCAGTTATTGGGAAGTAATTTCTAGCTGATTTCGATCGTTTTCTTAATATACAAATTGTGACTTTGGCACTAATGAGTTCATATGTTTTATCTAAATAAAAAATCATAAATCCTGTAGTAATTTCTCTTCAAAAAATGTAATCTACTTTATGCAGATTCTAATAAAAGAATTGATTTTAATAATTTCCATTAAATTGAAGGTTTTCCTCGCTCAGCATTGAACTTTAAAAAACACTTTTTTTTACATTTATAATTAAATTAATTTAAAGAAAAGGAAAATAAACTTGAATAGTATTATGTGTCAGAACAAAGCAGCTTATAGTAATTTTTCAAAGTACTAATGAATGAAGTCTTTAAAAAAATAGAAATGTATATTATTGTTCCAATTTATTTTACTCGAAAAAATTCGGAAAATTTATATTCATTGTATAATTGTACTAAACATGAAATCTTGTAAACTTGTTCAGTGTTTTTATGAATGTGTATAAAAAAAAATTGGTGTCAATATATGTTTAAAAACTGAATGTAACGGTATTAAGTAATAATAGTGTCCTCGCTTATGTGTTCAACAGCTGTAGAAACAAACGTTATCTATAAATTATGAATTATGTAAAAACTATCTGGTGTGTTCATTTTTGTGTTTGTGATCATCACTCATATCACGTTCTATATTTGCTTTCAGCCGTTTTTCTCCAGCTGTTTCGATCTCAATCGTCAGCCAAGAGAGTTTTCTTACCGTTTCGATCACGTGTCTACGCTCAACGGTAAAATATTTTCTACCTTTCCAGTAATATGCCAGCTCTCAGCCTCAAAACTTTTCTGTAACTGTTCCAATCGTCCACCTTTTCCTATTCAACTAATATTCAATACCGTTTTGGTCATATGTCTACTCAGACAAATCGTTTTAAACGTTCCAGTCGTGCGTCTGCTCTCAGCCACAAAAGCTTTTTTTTTTTATAACAGTTCCAGTCGTTTGTCTTCTACTCAACAAAGCTTTATTACAGTTCTGTTCATGTGTCTACTCTCAGTCAAATCGTCTCAAACGTTCCAGGCGTGTGTCTGCTCTCAGCCACAGAAACTTTCTTTTAGCTGTTCCAGTCGTCTCCTATTCAACAACGCTTTATTACCGTTGTTCTGTTCATCTGTCTACTCTCAGCCAAATCGTTTTTACTGTACTGTCGCGTGTCTGCTCTCAGCCACGGAAGCTTTTTTTATTGCTAAAGTCATCTGTCTTATCAAAGTGTTCTTTCTTCACCGTTCCAGTTATTATCCTGTCTACTTTCAGCACCCTATTTGCATATTGCATTTTACTATTACCTTAAATTGATACTCTTTGGGTATACATAAAATTCAAACTAAGGTTTCACAAACAGTGTAATATTTTAAATTTAATAGTCGTTTTCCTTCTTAAAAAAAGAATAACATTTTGCTTTTCATTATCTTGCATAACTTGTTAGTCCTAGAACAATCCCGATCACTATAACAACTATGTAAATTTTAACAAGTCCGAAAAAGGTTAAATGATAAACAATTTTTTTTTAATACAAAATATGCAATAAAAAATGTCAAATTTATTTCTCTACGAGTGGTCAAAAAACGTTCATTTTTCTCGAATAATTCTTTCGGAACAGAGAAATCATAAGTCATAATAATTAAACATAGAAGATTTATAATATCATTGGAAGCCATAAGCATAAAATTTATTAAATTCATCACTATTAATTTATTGCGATACTATTAATTAATCAAATACAGTCCCTGGCTAAATTATTAGACATTCTATAAGATTTTATTTTAAATCTTAATTATCAGGTGATACTATGCAGCTTTATTGTTTTTATGCGACTGAAACCGGTTTGTACTTATTTACGTTCGTGTATCAATTGGTTAAATTAAACGATAAATCATATAATGTCGACGATTGGATATTATATGAATATAGAATATTTGTTATATCAGGTAATATATTAGTATATTATAATAATTATGCGAAATAATAAGGCACACTGTTGTGTTTTAATAATTACATGTTTTGAACGAGTTAAAATGCAAAACTTTTATATTCAAACATACATATAATGGGTGTTTAGTCAGAAGATTTTTTTACCTACTTCCTATTTGTATTTATTTTTAACGTATTGCATTACAATGTTAATCAATTGATACACGAAAGTAAACAAGTGCAAACCTTTTTCAGTCTTTTAAAAACAAAGCTGTATAATATTACCTGATAATTAAGATTTTACATAGAATTTTATAGTTCGTCTAATAATTTGGCTGTATGCATAAAGGTATAGAAAAAATAAAATTCAGTAGCTTGATTAAAATTATAGAAAACTTATACAAATGAACTTTATGAAGAAAAAAAGTAGACTACCCTCTATTTTTACTGTAAAGTTCATCTGGAACTTCCTTTAAAAGCAAACAATGGTTATCTGACAGACGCCCAATTTTCAAAAAGATCCTAAAAAAACACTGACCCACGTGAACTTCTAGAGTCAATAAAGAAAATAAAAATGGCGAGTATTATGGAAAGAAGAAAGCATTTTACCATTGAGACATTATTTTTCGCTCTAATTCTCGCCAACTTTTCATTTTGGCATTCTTTTTCCGAATAAAGATTGGAAAGAAGATATTTACTTCTGTCTTGATGTTACTTAAAGATCAATTACCGTTTATAAAAAGAACCTAAAAATTACGCCATTTGCAGGAAGCTGTGTAACCACGTTGACAAAATAAGAGAGAAAGTTTTTTTTTTCTTCCTCAACTAGCCAAGAAGTAATGATGCGTGTCTTGTAAGAAATTATAAACAAGATGTAATAGATCGATTAATTGGGAAAAATGTTGTTCCTGCTCTTTACTTAAATAGACGTTGTCGAATGACTGGAGAAAAAAAATCAA